GATCTGTGGGGACCATAAAGAATACCTACATTTGATGGCAACTTGTAGTAGATGATTACTCCAGAATGACATGGATATTTTTGATAAAGCAAAAGTCCGATGTGTGCTTATCCCTGCAATATTTTCTCAGCTATTTTAAAAATTAGTTTGATAAAAGCATCAAGATTATTAGAACTGATAATGTGGCTGAAATTGTCAATAGTTTCTGTGATCAGTTATTCAAGAACCTAGGCATTATACACCAAAGAACATGTGCCTACACTCCTCAGCAAAATAGAGTGGCTGAAAGGATGCATAGGCATATCTTAGAAGTAACTAGAGCTATGAGGTTTCAAGCAAATATACCTATCAAATTCTGGAGCACTGCATTTTAGCAGCAGTCTATTTAATTAACAGAATGCCCAGTTCTGTCATTGCCACTATGTCTCCCCATGAAAGACTATATAAATGAAGCCATCTTTGAATCATCTTAGAATATTAGGGTGCATGTGTTTTGCTAAAATACTATAAGAACATGACAAGCTGATGCCAAAAGCTAAACTAGCTGTGCATATGGGGTACTCAGAAATTCACAAAGGCTACATTTTATATGATATAAGTAACCATAATCTCTATGTCAACAGAGATGTTATATTCAGAGAAGATACATTTCCTTTCAGCAGAACAAGCACAAACTCACAACCACTATTTCCTACTCTAGATACACAAAATTTACATGATAGTTTCTTTGAAACTACATTTGACACTGATCTACACAGTCAATAGTATTCCGACACATACTGAGTGTTTAAACAACCAACCTATTCAAGCAGAAGCAAGTTCAGAAGTCTCTATACCAGAAAATCATGAAATGCTAACACAAATATCTGAGCCACAATCACCAAACACTCAGCTACCTGAACAACAGTTATCAGATAATCTTCTACCAAATATACAACCTGTAGATGATATTTAGCAAAACCTACAACCTGAAACCAGAAGATCATCAAGAGACAAAAATTCTCCAATTTGGATGAAGGACTTTGTATCGTTGAACATTCACAATGATGTACCATATGCATTTACAGGTATATAGGCTATGATAATATCTCATCCAAATATAAGGCCTATTTTGCCTTCTTTTCATCTACTATGGAACCTTCTAATTACTCTGAGGCGGTGAAAGACCCAAGATGGGTAGAAGCTAAGCAAGAAGAAATCAGAGTATTGAAAAATAATCATACATGAGACTTAGTTACCTTACTAGAAGGGAGAAGGCCTATTGGCTGCAAGTGGATATAAAAAATAAAGTATAAAGCTTCTGGAGAAATTGAGAGATTTAAAGCCAGATTAGTTGCTAAAGGGTACAATCAACAAAAAAGAATAGATTATCAAAAGAATTTTCACCTGTTGTGAAAATGGTAACATTCAGAACTATCTTAGCCTTGGCAGCTGCTAGGAAATGGCATATACATCAAATGGATGTATATAATGCCTTTCTTCAAGGTGATTTGTATGATGAAATCTACATGGACTTGCCTCAAGGATATTCAAGTCAGGGGAGACAAGGACAGTTTGCAGAATTGTGAAATCCTTGTATGGTCTTAAGCAAGCTCCAAAACAATTTAATGCTAAATTTTCTGAAGCATTAATAAAGTTTCAGTTTAAACAAATCCAGTTTGATCATTCCCTGTTCATTAAGAAAACTACTGAAGGTACTGTCATTGTTTTAATTTATGTAGATGATATGTTAAACCAATAACTCACTACAGAAAACCTTCAAAATGAAGGATTTGGGAGATCTGAAGTATTTCTTAGGTATTGAATTTGCAAGATCAAAGGAATAAATCAATATGTATCGGAGGAAATATATCTTAGAACTCAGTTCAGAAGTTGGATTGTTTGCTTCTAAACCTGCAGCAACACCTATTGATACAAACATCAAGCTCACTTCAACACAATATGATAAGGTAATTGATACAATGAGTCAAGCTGAAGAAGATCCCTTGGTTGATCAAGCTACTTATCGGAGACTCATAGGGAAGTTGCTCTATCTAACTATAATCAGACCTGATATATCATTTGGAGTTCAAATTCTAAGTCAGTTTCTTCAGCAGCCTAAACAGTCACACATGACAGCAGCCTTAAGGATAGTAAGGTATATAAAAAATCAACCAGGTCAGGGAATACTCTTATCTAGCAAATATAGTGATGTTGTGACTGCATACCGTGATGCTAACTGGATTGCATGCCCTATTACTAGAAGATCTATCATAGGTTTCTTAACCAAGATTTGTGACTCATTAGTGTCATAGAAATCCATGAAGCAGACCACAGTTTCTAGAAGCTCAACAGAAGCTGAGTATAGAAGTCTTACAACAACTGTAGCAAAACTTATTTGGTTGATAGGAGTTTTGAAAGAAGTGGACACAGACATCAAACTACCAGTTGAAATTCACAGTAACAACAAAGCAGCCATACATATAGCTGCAAATCATGTTTATCATGAACGAACTAAACACATCGAGATTGACTGTCATTTTGTACGAGAAAGGATTCAACAAGGACTTGTTACAACCAAGTATATAGCTACAAAAGATCAACCTGATGACCTTCTCACTAAAGGATTCAATTGAGTGCAATGTGAATATTTAAACTCCAAGCTAGGTACTCTCAATATTTTTACTCCACATAGCTTGAGGGAGAGTGTTAAATGATATCAGGGGCAGAACAGTCTTTACAGTCTAGGTAGTTAGAAGTTGTTAACAGAATTAATTAAGTTTAAGTCAGTTAATACCTACCTACACCTCATTCTCACGTGTACATATGTATCAGCCCAGTGTACACAATACACATTATTAAATAATATCAAAGTTGCCATTTTAAGTCATCTCTTTGTCTCTCTACATATATAGACAATTCATATTTAATAGTATGTAGTGGAATCAAAGAAATAACTACAATTTTTATTCAAATACTTATCAATTAACGTGCAATAAGAATATATATATATATATATTCTTATTTATTTACACAACATAATTTCTAGCAAAGTGACATCAAGAGCGGTTCCGCTAGTGTCCAAAACCCTAGACCCAAAGTAAATAAAAAAGGAAACACGAAAAAGGGGTTCATTCTGGAGGCAGCACGTATAGTAGATAGAGTAAATAATTAAGACATGAAACATGGGAGGAGGGAAAAGATACATTAAAGGCATGGAAGGAAATTAAAGAAGCAGAACCTTACTGAAAACTTCATTTATTCCAAAGTTCAGACATTCACGTTTTAGCAGAGACCTTCTTCAATGGACTCCCCTTTCGCTTTGCAATTGCTATATGCTCTTCAACTTCAATATAATTCTTGTTTCTTCTACAAACTTACTTAGTATTGCATACTTAAAATATATATATATATAAATAAACGTTTTGAATTTTATTACGCGTGTAACTGTAACAAAAAATTAATTACTTACTACCTTATTTTCAGGTTGCTAATCTCAAAAATAGGTGACAATAATAGTTCAAAAAATATTTTACGCTGTCAATATATATTAAGTTCAACTCATACTCTCCTTGGGCCAACCCCAATGTACCACACATATGTACATGTTCTCTAATTAAACCAGTCAAATGAATGCTTATTGTCCCTATTTCAGAAGTAAATTTATTTTTCCTCTTCTTTGAAGTTTTTATCGGCGAGCACCCATAATTTTAAAATCCTGGATCCGCCACTGGCTATAGAACACGAGTTCGAGCCGTGAAAGCAACCACTAATACTTGCATTAAATTAGACTGTTCACATCAGGGGTGGATCTATGTGTAAGGGATGGGGTGGCACGCCAGCCGCAAGCTATGGCCGTAACTATGCAATAGTATGTATATATGTATGTATATACAGATGGAATGTAACAAATATTTTAAGTGGCACTCTATCCAACAAGTGGCAGAAGATGCCACTGGCCATGCTCTAACTTTTCACCTGGGTGGTGCAAGGTCGAATCTCGTGTAGTACTCTTTTCTTGGAAGTTTTATTTGGTGCATTTAAGATAGCTTTAATCATAGGAAGAATTTTACTCTTTCCTTTTGTTTCTTTTTTCTCTTTCCTTAATTATAGTAGTTTCTATTGGCTTTTTATTAGTTTATTTTGAAATTTCTTTTCTCTTTTTTTACCTTTAAACATTAAACATAAAAATATAAAAATCATTTTCTTTCAAAAATCTATTCTTTCCTTGTAACCCCCCAACCTCCCACCCACTATTTCTCTTTCTCAACTCTTCCATGATTTATTAATAGAAAAAGTAATTTTTTAACTTCAGGAGCATAATTCCGGTAAATCTATTTGCATAAACCAAAAAAATATAAAAATTCTTGAATAAGTTACTGTTCTATTCAAGGATGAAAGTTTATTTATTGTCAGATTACTCTAAAGTAGGATAATTGTACATAACATTGAGTGAGTTAATTTTCACAAAAAATACGTAAATTAAAAGACGTCCGTAAACTTGCTTCTGTTTTAACGTTTAGAGTACTTATTAGTATAAGTATTTGCCTTGAGTATCTAAATATTAATTTTACACCCTATTTAGACAATATAAATTGTAGCATGACTACGTTCAAAATTTTGTGGCACCCGGAGCCTCTAGATCCTGGATCCGCCTCTGAGTCCAGATCATACTCCTTAGAGTGCGACCCTTCCCCGAACCCTGCGTTAATATGTGATATCTTGTCCACTAGACTGTTTTTTTATATATAACTTAAATCAGTTCTTCTTTAGAATTATATCCTTTTCTTTGTTACCGTATTTTATCTTACTTGGGGCATTGGTCGTGGGGGGAGGATAAAAAATTTGGATTTGTGTATGTATAGTATATATGTGTGGGGATTAATTAGTTTGGAAGAACTCAACAAAACCTGTGAATCCTACAAAAAGTGGCCGTGTATCATGTGAAGTTCATCAGGTGTACATCCTACATTAAAATCACCCTCTTCACTCTTCATTTCAAATTTCAATATAATCTTCCCTAGCCTTATTATAAATATTTGACAAGTTGGTCCCAAATTTTCTGCTTCACACATCTTCCACTGTTTTTTAGTTATATTTCTTCAACACATTTCATACAAATTTTCAAGTATTCTAAGGTGGCTGAAGACAACAGGCAAATTAACAACGATATGGTGACTACCACTCATTCATTTGGATTTCTGATTCTTTCAATAGTTACTCTTGTTCTAATGCTAGTCGCCTCTACCCAAAGCCTACGGCCATATCATTGTAAGTGCCCACTCTTTAATTTGTCCTATAATATATATCTTAAGGAGTTTAATTATGTTATATACACTGATAAAGTAAAAATAAAAATAAAAAAATACACCATTATATGAATGATATTTAACCGGTAATAACAATTTATTATTTTATTTTTCTAGTTATCATATAAGGCTTGATATATATGTGAAGTTATTTGTGAACATTTTATTTTATGTACTTTATTTATACTATAATATATAAGTGGACAAGGGGTGCATGAACACAGTTGTCCTGAATTGTACAAAATGCATTGGCTATTATACTTTTATTTGGGCCATCTTATTAGCCAATTGACATATGTACCATACCTTTGCTTTACTAAACCACGTGTACATCACTATTTCTAATACACTATAACTCTTTGATTATCAAGCTCTTCACTCCCATTCTTTCTCCTTAGATGCTCTCTGCAATTTTCTTATATATTGCTGGAAGCTGAATTATAAGATAAAAATATTCCACGGCATCTCTTTATATTTTTCATAGGCAACCCTATAATCCTTTCACAAAAAAATACACATAAATGTTTTTCTTCCCTTTGTAGAAGTAGCAATTGATGCTGTTGTCTCTTAATTTGAGACATAACACACTATGACTCCTAAAGCTAGGCATATATATAATGTTGTCTGCTCATAAAATTTCAGTTACCTACCATGGGAAAGGAACAAACATGGATAAACAAAGCCATGTCCACATTAAGGTAATTTAATTATGAAACAATTTGACATTTTAGCCTTGTCCACTCTTTATAAAATGCTGAAAATTAAGAATGGAAAATTGCAGGAAGAAAGAAAAGGGGAGTTAGGAATGGAGTTGTATCCAACAGGATCAAGTTTACCAGATTGTTCCCATGCATGTGGACCTTGTTTTCCTTGTAAAAGAGTAATGGTGAGCTTCGAATGCTCCATTGCAGAGTCTTGCCCCATTGTTTACAGGTGTATGTGTAGAGGCAAATATTACCATGTCCCTTCCAATTGATCCATCTTCATATTGCCACTGAAAATTCCATTTCTTCATGATGTAGTTTAATCTTTATTATGGAGTAGTATTATGCCTGGTTTCCTTCTTGAGAATAGAGAGCTCGATAGATGTAGTAGATGTTCTTTTTTTTTTTTTCTAATTAGCAGAAAGAATTAAGATTTTGTGTGTGGTAATTGTGTAAATAGGAGGAATTTAGTGATGTTGTAAGAGTTTTGTAAGAATGTTCTCTTGCTTTTTCGCAAGACTTTTTGTACTTGTATTTGCATGATATATATGCTAGCTACTAGATATGTCTAGTCCAGTGCTTGAATGTCTCTTGAAAACACTAATTTTCCCAGAATTAAATATCCCATGTCAAATTCGACAACTTTAAATTTAAACTACTAGCATATGGAAAAATCTTAAGAAAGATAGGCGTTGGAATAAATAATACGACTGATTAGCTGATGAGAATTGTTAACCAAAATTAACCATTTCCTGAACGAAGATAAATATCTAAAAATCCAAGTAATTTTAGTTTGTTCATCTTATCATCTCCGGATCCGTGGCGCAATGGTAGCGCGTCTGACTCCAGATCAGAAGGTTGCGTGTTCGATTCACGTCGGGTTCAATTTCCCGATCCAGGGTCCTTCATTTTGCTTAATTTTCGCCTACTGTATACAAATATAATACAGTTAATCGCCTACTGTATACAAATATAATACAGTTAAATGCCCTTTTTTTTAAAAAAAAAAAAAAAAAAGGTTGGCAAATGCTAAAATGATAAAAGTTCGCTGCTGTTATAAGATTAACCAGGGGGATGTGCATCTATACCCGCTTTTCGGGTCACGTTTTTACTTGTGCCCGCTTTGCAAAAAAAAAAAATTGCAAGCGTACCCACTTTTTCGCGTAACTTCAGCATACAGGGCTGAAGTAACAAAGACAATCACGCAAAACTTCAGCATTCTAGTGGATGGGGCTGAAGTTTTTTTGTCCTGGATAAGATGCTGAAGTTATTTAGTTCATTTGTAAAAAACTTCAGCAATAAAATAGCTGAAGTTTTTTTGTCCTGGATTCATTAGTTTTGTCATAAAACTTTTTCACAAACTTCAGCAGAAGATGCTGAAGTTATTTAGTTCATTTGTAAAAACTTCAGCACTAAATAAGCTGAAGTTTTTTTTGTCCTGGATAAGCTTTTTCAAAAACTTCAGCAGAAGATGCTAAAGTTATTTAGTTCATTTGTAAAAACTTCAGCACTATTTAAGCTAGAGTTTTGAAAAGCTTTCTAACATACTAGATAAATAATCACCTTATTCTTTCATAGTGTATTACTACTATAAAATAATCAGATTGCCAACAATATCTAAATCATAAATTTTGGAAACAATAAACGTGAAAGGAACAGAATTACGTGAAAATATTCACAAATTATTGTCTACTAACTTACGTAATTATTTATAATTTATTTTTAAATAATCTGATAAACATACTTATGGCAATCATCCCATGGACTGAAGTTTTATAGCAGCACCAACAGCATCAGAAGAAAGAAGAAGAAGAATAAGAATAAGAAGAAGAAGAAGAAAACCAAGGAGGAGAAGGAGGAGGAGAAAGGAGGCTGAAGTTGTTTAAAAAGTGGGTACAAGTTAAAACTTTTAAAAAAATATGGGTATAGGTTAAATGGGGGCGACCAAATAGGGCGCCCCGTGCAACTTTTACGATTAACTATAGTGTTAGAAAATTTCAAATAAGGCTACATTAGACACACTTATCTTAGTTACTAGTCTTGGGTACGCGCTTTGCGCCTGTATCCTATCTCAATGAGTAAAAACTTCTTTAAAATTTATCTTTGAGTTGTCGAATAAAAGTATAAGTTCCTAAAAAAAATGTATATTGATCGTGTATAATTAACTCTATAATGAAAGAGTTATCCAATATAAATTCTTAATTATCAGTCAATAATTCAACTTAAAAATTATTTTAATGACTGAAATTAGAATTGTGTATTTGGTTTTGAAGTGTCAGTATTCAAGTGATATGAGTAATTCAATAGTATTAGCTAATACCAAAATTTTAATATTTAACTGTAGTTATATTCTTATTCAATAAGTTTTTTTTTTCAATAGTAAAAAATTGACTAGGAAAAAAATCATCCATGAATGACATGTTCCCAAAAAATAAGCAAATAAAAATACTTTGTAAATCTTAATCATTATATACAATAAATAAATTCTAAATTAAATGCAAAGCCACAATTATAGTCCAGAAACCTACTTATATTCAGCTAAATTTAACTTTAAAAATATTAAGATATCTCATAAATTATCTTTTTGGAATAAGGGGGAAAGGACTCCTATATCTTACAAAAAGTTGTAAGTGGGCGATGTTTCATGTAATCCGTTAAAATTTAATAACAAGAAGGAAAGTGTAAACAGGTTAAACTATGAGGAAAAAAAAGACTTCAAAACCTAAAAGTAATGGAAAGGAATACTAAATATTAGGGAAGTAATTAATTATCTATTTCTAAATATTGAAAAAATAATTAAATATTTATTCTCAAATATTAGGAAATATTAAATGACTATTTCGTCTAATATGAAATCAAATTTCAAAGGGTAAAAAAGACAAACAACATTTCGCTAAGGGCCTTCGTGCTTTTAATATAGTCCCAAGGTAAATCTAATTTTAAATCAGAGCATCACGCCTGTATATTTTTTGTACAATAAAAATCGAATTCAGCCTCTATTTTTTTTTTTTTTTTTTTTTTTTTTTTTTTTTTTTTTTTGCAATTTCATGCGCGTTAAACCTACTTAGTAAACATGATCATTGATCCCAATATTTTGCATTGTATGGTTGGTCTAGCTGACTTAGCTCTTTGCCCGTTTCTTCAAGATTGGACCAATTTGTTTTGAAGTCTAGAAACCAATATCTTTTCCCTCTACTCCTGGAACCAAGTCTACCATTATTGTTTTAGGACCGAAAAAATCAAGTGTTATGCAAAAGCTAGTAAAGCAAATCTTGAACGATGATAAATCAACCAATAAAAGAGAAATATATCAAAAGAGACACAAACATATAACGTAGTTCGGTCAGTTGACCTACATCAATCCACGGCGGAGATGAGCAATCCGCTATATAAAGAGAGTACAAAATATCGAGAGAGAACAACCTCATGAAGAGGCAAACACAAGTGACACACTAACACTTATCCCGTAAAGTTCTCCCCTAAACACGACTCTCAAACCCCATATGGCTACATTGTGGATGCTGCTGAATGAGAAGGAAGGATCCTCAATTTATAGAAGTCCAAACCTTTTCCTATAAGAAAAGGGACTAGCCAAATATGAGAGATTTATAATTTTATTCTGCAAGAAGGAAAATCCAATTATGGTAAATATGTTGCCATTTCTTTCAAGAGATAGGAAAATCAAATATGGTAAAAAAATCAGGACAAACACCTAACAATTCTCCCCCTTGGCCTGAATTTTCTGACAAAATAATTTTGATCCACCTTCTTCTCATAGCCTTCAACAAGCTGCATCTCCAAATCTCCACCACAAAGTTTGTCTCAACGTGCGTAGCACTCTGGTCAAATTTCTCCGACAAAAATCATGATTACCGTCAAATAGGTTGCACAACCCCAAATTTCCCTCCATAGGATGTCGTGACGGCACCTAGTCTCTAAGACTAGGTAAGCACAAACATGCGGAATAACTGAATTAATCATAAATACAAGTCTCAAACTCAACAACTGTATAAAAAAATGTTATAACTCAGCATATACAAATCCCTAGACCCGGCGAAATACAAGTCACAAGCTATAAGTAGAAATGCTGGATAATCCTATACTTCATGTCTATATATAAAAGATAATGAATAAAGAGATCCAGAGAGAGGGGGACTCCGAGGCATGTGGACGCCGGCAGGTATACCTTGAAGTCTCCATAGTAGAATCCCAGCTAATGCCTGGCTTAGGGGTGTACAAAGAGAACCGATAAACCGCAAAAAACCGATAATCCGAGTCAAACCGGAAAAAAACTGGATTGTAGTTTGGTTTGATTTGGTTTGGTATTGAAAAATGAAACTCGTTCATAATTGGTTTGGTTTGGTTTTAAGTAAAAAAAAGTCAAATCGAAACCACACGAACCCGATAGTACATTTACACAATTTTTAACAATATTTTATACATATAAATATTTATTATAATGTAATTTATAAATTTTTTTTATACATTTTCACAGTTATCTTTTAACGTATTATTTCAAGTTTGAAAAATTTTTTATAGCCCATAAATGTAGTAACTCAAAGTCTCAAACAAAGTTCAAATTATTATTAATATTACTAACAAAAGAAATTTAAATCAACACTAGGAATGCTAATAGTGTTGGATATCTATATTTTAGTTTTACATTGATTTATAATGAAAATGCATAACTTCGTTTATCTTTTTCTTTAGTGCTTAGTTATGTAATTAATAGTACTTATTAGATATAGTTGTTTTAGCATGACCTAGATAGTATTTTTAGATTATATTAATTTTTATTATGGCGTATTAATTAGCAATATTTGCTTTATGCAATTTTATTATCTTTGTTATTGAATATTTTAGTATAATACTATGACTTATCTCATATTATTGTGTTATTTTCTTGGAAAATATATTATATATTTGTATCTTACTAGCACTAAGAAATATTTGGAGCACAGGTTACATATTTTGTGCTATGAAGACTTTTACCGAGAAAAAACCCGAAAACCCGAAAAAACCCGAAAAATTCGAGAAAAACTGTGATTGAAAAACCCGAAATCTGTTGGTTTGGTTTGGCTTATTGATTTGAAATCCGACACTATTGGTTTGGTTTTGTAATTGAAAAATCTGAACCAATCTGACTTATGTATACCTCTGCCTGGACTGATAAAAAGTACTTGGATCTGCACAAAAAAGTGTGCAGAAGAGTAGTATGAGTACACCACAACGGTACCCAGTAAGTGCCAAGCCTAACCTTGGTAGAGAAGTGGCGAGGTCAGGTCAGGAGCTCATTGGAAATAAATAAAAGACTGAACAAATGTAGGCATAATATGGCCGTAATGAAATTGAAACAACGAATAGCCTATGAAGGTTAGCTACATAGAACTAAAGCAAATAGTGAAATATAGAGAAAGACAATTAATAATATGCTAAGGAAACAATGATCAAAGACAAGTGCAAAAGAATGGAGAAACGTCAATAAGAGTCACTACCGAGGTATCGCCTCGTAGTCTCAAATCACAAAAATAAATCACAATCTTTCCTTATATCACCGCGGGAGCCTTTACATTTAG